TGTGGCACTACGGCTTGCGGTGCTTGTGGAGCATGCGGCACTGCTTGCGGAGCCTGCGGAGCATGCGGCACTACTGCTTGCGGAGCCTGTGGAGCATGCGGTACTACTGCTTGCGGAGCCTGCGGCACTGCCGCTTGCGGAGCTTGTGGAGCATGTGGCACCACTGCATGCGGAGCCTGCGGCGCATGTGGCACTACTGCTTGCGGGGCTTGTGGAGCTTGTGGAGCATGCGGCACCACAGCCTGCGGAGCATGCGGCACTACTGCTTGCGGTGCGTGTGGAGCATGCGGCACTACTGCTTGTGGCGCTTGCGGGGCATGCGGCGCCACGGCTTGTGGTGCTTGTGGAGCATGCGGCACCACGGCTTGCGGCGCTTGTGGAGCATGCGGCACTACAGCTTGCGGAGCATGCGGCGCTACAGCTTGTGGAGCATGCGGCACTACTGCTTGCGGAGCCTGTGGAGCATGTGGCGCGACTGCTTGCGGCGCATGCGGTGCCTGTGGAGCATGCGGCAGCGGTGCCTGCGGAGCATGCGGCACTGCTTGCGGTGCTTGTGGAGCATGCGGCACTACTGCATGCGGAGCCTGTGGAGCATGCGGTGCTGCTTGCGGTGGCTGTGGGGCTTGTGGCGCTTGCGGCGCTTGTGGTGCTAGTAGTGGTTGTGGTGGCTGTGGTGGTTGTGGCGCCTACCAATGCCTCGGCCAGATGTTTTGCGCCATGAACCTCACGGTCATGAACGGCGCCACGCCTGTGAGCATCTCCCAGTGCAACCTTCCTGGCAAGACGATCGTCATCGATTCAAAGCAGGATCTGACCGAAGTCTCCTACGACATGTCGGGCGGTCGCATGAAGGCTGATTTCCATCGCAAGCTGAACACGGGCGACTGCACTGACTTGGTTCTCGCCGCAGACACTCCGCTCTACATCATCATGGCAATGGGTGTCAAGGGCGACATGAACGTGGTGGGGCACGGCTACTCAGAGACACATAACGTGGTTTGCATGGGCTCGATGATGCAGACCGTCGAGTGCAAGCCCCCGAGCGAATGGGCTGACGTGCCTCCTACTATGCCGCAGACCTCATCCATGGCCGCGCCAGCTTTGTCGGGATTGGCGGGCATCTCCCTGGCCCTGTTCTTCCTGCAGTAGCCCGAAGATGCAAAGAGTCCTGGGGACCGGCAAGAGCCAGTAGCTGGCATCAGAGCTAGAAGAGTCTAAGAGAAGCATTCTTCAAAAGTATTCGCACAAACAGATGATCAAGCCGGTCCCTGTCGTTGCAGAATTGCTAGGGGCGCTGATTGCAGCAAGGCTGAATTTGCCTGCTTGCGATGGGTGCCGAATTAGAGTGCGCAGTTAGCAGTTGCAGAAGTTTTCTCAGGGGTACATATAAAATCCCAAGAGCCAGCGCCCGAATTGTCGGCTAGACAAGCGGGTAGCACTGCAACTCCCTTGGAAAGCCTCTCCAGGAGGGATTGTCGGATGGACAAGCCTGCCTGGATCAGGGACCATTGGCACGTCCTTGTATTGCCTCTGACCGTGCCTGTGCCCGTTGCAGCCCCGTTGTGCACATGTTGAAGGTAAGTGGACCTTGGGGCCCGCGCCATGAAAAGTGAAGGGTTGGTCAGGAGAAGGGTGCGAGAGTTGGCGCTGCAGGTTTAGGATCAGAAAGTTCCGTTTCGCTGATTTTGTTTGGAAGGCAGCTTGGCCGGACTTGCCGGGAGTACCCGACACCATCGCGGTGACGCCGACGGCACAGGAGGCCCCTGGGGCATTGCTTTCGAGTGGAGAGTTGCTAGGCAAACAAGTGGTAGCCCTAGCGCATGCAACCAGTGGCTTTGCAATGCTCTCAAAGCCTTCTTATATGAGAATAGAGAAGAGATGAGAAGAGTATGGTATGTTCTACATGTTCTATGTTACTCTGGTGATAATCTCCCAGTGGCTTCCTTTTGCGAAGTCCCCGACACATGCTCTTAGGCATTCGATGATCTACTCAGTCTTCTGAGGTTCTGGCAAACCCGGGGTGTCGGAATGGGTGTGGTCGTAACTGGAGCGGATATGTGCAGGAAGCAATTGATTAGGAGGTGAGGGTTATGGCTGTTAGACGTTGTTTACCATGCTGACTCAGTCCCTTCTGTTCCGCTGGGTGGCCAGTGTACTTCCTGAGTGTGCAGCCGTTGTCTGGCATCCGCTCTTCGCAAGGGCGGAAGGCGCGTCAACGCCTCGGCAGCATCCGGGCTCGAGGAGGTTTTGAAGGACGTTCGGTCATGATGGCGTTCCGCATGGCACTCGGTCTCGTGCTGCTGGGGCTGCCCCTGGCGAAAGGCTTGACCTTCTCGCACAGCCAGGGTAGTGACACCGCGACATGGGAACTGCATCTCCACGGGGATGAGCTTCATGTTACTTCGTAGTTGAGTGAGTGCACTTTACATTTTCTGTGATAATGGAATCAACACTTTACGGCGTACACGTTTTTGGTCTGATGAACTCGGCAACTCAGGTTATGGCTGACTGCCCGGCTGACAGATGGTGCAGTCTTGGCTTCAATAAGGACAAGCCCAAGATGGATGGCACAGATGTCTTCACCTTCGGCCACCATCCGGGTGTGGATCTGTCAGACTGCCACCAGACCTGTGGCACGGCCTGCGGCTGTGGCACGGCCTG